GGTTAATCACTAGGTCAATGCTGCCATCTTTAATCAACCTGGAAGAATAAACAAAATAAATAAAAATTTACAGATGACAAGTATATTTTATAATTAGTTTTAAAAATACTAACATAAATTGCTCTCTTAGCTATCCAAGTCAACGCCATACTGAGTTGACTGCCACCTGCCCTCCTCTGTTCCTAAATTGATGTTCACCTTATACATATTTGGGGATTATCATTTTTATTATGTTCTTGAAAGAATATTGGTGCAAGTCTAACTAATAGAATGCAAAGGTTGGTTTTCTCTTTAAAATGCTATCTGTCCATTGTAAGAATTAATTTGATAGATATTTACCTATTATTTACAAAGAGATGATCCCCCCAGCATTGAAGACCTTTTCACCCCTGTGCTCCCATCCACACATTAAAGCTGCTGCCTGCTAAGTAGTGATAATTGTTGCTTTACAAGGCTCTAAGCAGGTAGTTATAGTCTCCTTGGAAGCCTGCTAAGGTCTGAACACAATGCCATTCCTTTATTAATTTGATAATGATTTATATATTGACTTCTTAAAAGCCCTAACAAATAATATATTGCATACAATTTGGTATAATGTAGCCATTTGGTAGGCTGTAATATCCTGAAACAACCAAGAATTATCTCCTATGCACTTAAGCCACAAAAATCTGTAAGTGTTGATGCAATGGCATTACTGAAGACTCACACAATCTTCTGAAATAATGTGTCTTACAAAAATCTAACGATGACATAGTCTAAGGCATAATAATCAACCTGATCAAGAAATGGCCAATTAGGTAATCCAATGGATGACATCATTATGGTGCTCAATATAGTTTCCTGCGGGTAGCCAGCGCTCAATAAATTAACTGATCCATTGATACACGACCTCAGTGAAATGAGGTTGATCAATCCTACACTTGATATACATATACATACATAAGGTTGACATGAAATATAAAGTGCTGCATTACAGTCTTCATACCCTCGCTTGTTTCCATCAAGACAAGCATCCTTACTAAGAAGTATTTTGAAAGATATCACATAGCACCATATATATATATGACATTATGTTTTCTATAGTAATAGAAAGTGACACTTGGATAAAATAAATTTCTATCATCCACAAATTTATTTATTTTTAAATTAGCTCACTAAGAAACTTTTAAAAGACTTGCAATTGAGTAAGGTGAAATAAATATTCATGGACTAGTTCTCAAAATTAGTCCTCTAAATTATCTCAGAAAACAGTCTGCCTAGTTCTTACTTTCTGATGGAAGAGAGGCTGGGATTCTGTCCTTCCTGAGATGGCCACGCCACTGGGGTGGCAGGAACATTGTTGGCATTGAGCCAGTCTGATGTGGCTTCCGTGGCAAAGAGCTGCATGTAAAATGGAAAAGTTGGTTACCGTATCACAACAATTCATTGTGTTTTTGGAACCTGCTGGAGCACATGTGTCATTCGAAACATAAAGAAGAAACTGGCGAATGTGAGAAGTAATATGGTGCCGTGGATAACGACTTGGACTCAGAATCCAGAGGCGTGGGCACTTTAAATATTTTTTAGGTATTTACAGTGAGGAAAAATTAAGGAACCTTGACTGTAATTGCTTTTGCATTTTAATAATG